CAAGAAAAAGGCTGAGCAGGAGTGAATCCCAGAGGCAGAATATTATTAGGCATACTTAAATCCCTAAAGCAGCCGTAAGCATTCACTGACATTGGAAAGTGAGCGTGGGAAGACTCTGTGAACAATCTATCTCAATGCCACTAGACTGGGGAAAATCAAGTCTACCAATGCCAAGAGGTGATAAAAATGAGAGTTGGTGAAAACACTTCTGTACTTTGGAACACTCTCTTTGCCACCCATTTGGTGTTATCTGGCAAAGTTGAGTATTTGCATGCCCCATAGGCCAGTAATTTCACTCCTAGTATACACCCTAAACATTCATCTCAGGGGACATGAACAAGAATATTCACAGTGACACTGTGACACTGTTCATAATACCAAAACCCTGGGGTAGGAGAACACATAGGTCTGTCAACAGATAAACTACAGGTAAGTAATCTGAGGTACAGTCATACAATGAAATATTATACAGCAGGGAAAACGAAAACCCCACTGTCACATGCTACATGGATGAATCTTAATGACATGTAGATTAAAAAAACAAAGCTGCTTTAGACTGCATGCAGTATGATACCATCTTATTGTGCTATAAAAATGGCTTAAAATTTATTTTAAAAAAAGAAAATGATAGACATGAATATCAGAAAAGTGGTTACCTCTATGGTGAGCAAGACAAATGGGATGGGGAGAAGCATGGACAGATGCAATGATATCGGGAATGTTCTAGTTCTCGGTTGGGTGAGAGGTTCATAGGAATATAATTTATATGTTTTAACATGTTACATATGTTCTTTGGCATGTGTCAACTATTACATAATAAAACATCTTTTAAAATGGATAATCTAGGGGCGCCTAGGTGGTTCAGTCGTTAAGCATCTTCATTCAGCTCGAGTCATGATCCCAGGGTCCTGGGATCGAGCCCCGCATCGGGCTACCTGTTCAGCGAGGAGCCTGCTTCTCCCTCTCCCACTCCCCCTGCTTATGTTCCCTCTCTCGCTGTGTCTCTTTCTGTCAGATAGATAGATAGATAGATAGATAGATAGATAGATAGATAGATAGATAAAATGGATAATCTAGTCCAAATCCGGGCAGTTTCTGGACCCAGTTCAACCCTCCTATGCTGCACCCAGTCTGACTCCTGCTGGTTTCTGGACCCCGTCTGGAAGAAGAAATGTTCTATGAGTCAAGTCTGAAAGCTCCTAACAGAAAAGGTGGGCAGCTGGGATCCAGGCTAAGAAAGGGACTTACCCCCCTGCACAGAGAAAACTCAGGAGCTCAAGGAGCTCAGCAGGCATCTGCTTCAAATAACAAAAAGCAAGTTGAGGAGCACTGTGATGCAAGATCCTAGCAGCAAACCCATGAGAGCTCCTCATGGCCAGAGCCAAACACTTGGAGCAATGACATAGAAAATGAGAGTACTGGATTAGTACCCACAGAATAAAATACCCATGGGTGAATGGGCAACCCCTTCCTTACAAGAGAATTCACAGCAATACAAATGGAAGGAAAGAAATGGAAATTAACAGTGAGCAAACAGTACAGGGACACTTGCTGCATGCAAGTTTTACTAATGGATGCTAAAATCAGTGAGGGAAAGACTGGAGAGAAACAGGATACATGCAGTCTCAGTGATATAGTTCCCAAGATATTTGCCACCTAATCAGGCAGGGGGAATAGCAACTTTATGGTGGAGCAACCCAGGAGAATCCACCTTCTCCAAGTGATCAAGGGTAACGTCACATCACCAGCAAGAAGACACACTGATAGCATAAACCTGATGATATGATGCACTAAGGAGGACACAACATCACTCCTGTGACATTCATGTCCCAAATGCATTAGCTTCAGTCCAATCGTGTGAAAACACAAGACAAACACAAATTGAGGGACCTTCCACAAACTGACTGGCCAGTACTCTTCAAAGGTGTCAAAGTCGTGAAAGACAAAGAAAGACTAAAGAACTATTACACTCTGTAGGAGACTAAGAAGAAATAATGACTAAATGTAATGGGGGATCTTGATGGGATTCTGAAGCAGAAAAAGAACATGAGTGGCAAAACTAGTGACATTTCAGTAAGGCCTTGAGTTTAATTAATGGTGATAAACCAATGTTAATTTTCTGGTTCTGATCGTTGCACTAGGGTTACATGCTAACAGTGGGGTGGTTGGCTAAACTCTGTGTTGTAGTTTTGTAACTTCTTAGTATGTTTTAAAGTAGTTCAAAATAAAAACCTGTGTGGTTCCGTCAGTTAAGCATCTGCCTTTGGCTCAGGTCATGAACTCAGGGTCCTCGGATCGAGCCCCAAATTTGGCTCCCTGCTCAGCGGGGAATCTGCTTCTCCCTCTCCCTCTGCCCCCACCCCCTGCTTGTGCTAATAAATAAGTAAAATCTTTTAAAAAAATAAAATAAAAAGTGGGGATTTTTAGAGAAAAAGATAATCCAAAGAATTTTCTATTGCCCAGTAGGTTATCCCAACTAATATTATAATCCACATATAATTCTTATTATAAATAGTAGTTATAATTAAAATCTCAAATATCTTGGGGCACCTGGGTGGCTCAGTCGGTTAAGTGTCCGACTCTTGATTTCGGCTCAGGTCATGATCTCAGGGTTGTGAGATCGAGCCCCGCGTCGGGCTCCACGCTGGGCATGGAGCCTGCTTAAGATTCTCTCTCTCCCTCTCTCTCTATCCCTCCCTCCCCCACTCATTCTCTCTCTCTCCAAAAAATAAATAAATAAATAAATAAAATCTCAAATATCTTAAGTTCCTATGTAACATATGCATCTTAGTTCTCAATCTGGAGCTATATGAAAACATCATGATGCACATGTTACATACATTCACTGTCAATTACATCTCAATAACACTGGGAGGAAAAAAATAATAATGAGTATTTCTATAGTAAGGAGTGACATTCAACATATTTAAATATTTAACAACTGATTTGATTATACAAATTAATGTAGAAATCAAAAATTACCACCATCCGCTTGTTTTCCTTCTATTCATTATGCTCTCAGACCAGTCCTTCAGAGACTGCCATTCCCAAAAGTGGCCACACAAGGGCGACTCTAATGAGCTGTGCCTGCTGGGAGTTGGCAGCCATGGCTCCAGAGCTGTGTCCTCTCCGGCCAGGGAGTCCTGCTAGGATGAGGGCCAGCACGGAGGATCAACAGAGCGCAGGCAAGGCACCTCACTGAGAAGGTGGCATTCAAGCAAAGATCTGAAGGAAATGGGAGCATGAACTATGCAGATCACTTGGGGAATTTTCCCAGGCAGAGAGCCTCTAGTATAAACGCTAGGACAGAAGAGTCTTATGTTCTAGGAACAGGAAGGAGGCCAGTGTGGCTGGAACAGAGGTGACATAAGACAGCAGTAAGAGGCCTGAGGGCCATTATAAGTAATTTGGCTTTTATTCTGAATGAGAAGGGAAGCTGATAACCGGTTCTGAGCAAAGGAGGGACCTGAGAGGATTGTAAAACATGTTTAAAAGGCTGCAATATAAGATTTAGAACAGACTGAAGGGGGATACGGACAGAAGCGGGGAGACCAGCGAGGAGGCTATGAAGGGTATCTAATGAGGAGGAGATGGGCCTATGGCCAAGGGTGGCAAGTCTTTGTAAGTTCCATTCCCCACATTCAACAAAGTGCATGCTTAAAAGCATGAGATTAGATGTTATCACCAGGCAAGGGAGTGGAGATGGAAGACAAGGAGAGGTGCCAGAGGGATGAGAAACCAGCCAGGGCCTGAGCAGGAGCAGCCCACCCTCCCCACAACAGGTCACTGCCAACCTGAACTCAAAAGTCTGTCGTTCTCACGAATGTCTTCATACTTTCACTCAAGAGGATATACCTCTAGACAATATATAGAAGTGTTTTTGCACGCTCTTCAACTTTTTATATGGTATCATACTCGATGTATTTTCCCCAGTTGTCTTTTTCCCCACACAACCAATATTTGTGAACTTTATCCACGTTAACACATGTTGCTCTAGGTCATTCATTATTCAGTGCTATCTGGAATTCCTTTGGGTGAACATGCCACACTTGAGCCATGTTCCTGCAGAGGGACACAGAGGTTATTCCCCTTTTTCTATTATAAACACCGGTATGAGCATTCTCACATGGGCCTCCTCAGGTGATGTCTCAGGTGAGACCTCTAGGCAGTGGTTCTCAAGCTATGTCAGAGTTACCCAGAAGCCTTAATAAAACAGATTTCTGAGCCCCATGTGCAGGGTTTGAGAACTATAGATCTAAGGTGGGGCCCAAGAATTGGCATTTCTAACAAATTCCCCCGTGACGCCATTGCCATTGGTCCCAAGACCACACTGAGAAAACACAGCACTGAGGCCCATGCCAGGAGTGCACATGATGGTCAGAGATATGCAGGGACACCTTCCGCTTCTCCAGGCTTCACCCAACTGCTCTGCAAAGCGGGTGAACCAATTTACCTTTCCACCAGCGTAGGTACGTGTGTCCCTGCTGCCAACACTTGGTGCTGTCACGTTTTTTTATTTAATCTGATCTTTAATCATTTTTTAAGCTTTTCATGGCATTTATAATTTTATCTACTCAACACATGTAAATAAAAGCAACTTAAGACTTTACATCCTAAGGCTAATCAGAACATTGCCAAGCTTTTGCTTATAGATAGTCCCCTCAGGTTCTGCCATCAGCCCAGCTTCCCGCTTGTTTTTCCCACCAATCCTAGAAAGAGACAAATGGTTTGGACAAAATCATTAAGATCATGATGAAAGAAAAGTGGAAGCTTGCTCCTTTTCATGGCCAACTGCACTGTAGTTTTATTTATTGTCGTTTGTTTGTTTACTCAATAAGGTGAAGGGAGAGAGGAAAATCGGGCATATGGGGAGAGAAACGGAAACTGCCCTCACCAACATACCTGATCACTTTTGGAGGGCAATAAAGAAATCATAGTGAGGGAAGGGTTCCTTCCATTTTGTACCAGGTTAACAAGGAGACAAGAAGCTGGGTACTCACGGATCTGGTTAGTGGATGCACTGTAGAAGGCATTGACGGTCGTTGGATTTGTGAACCACCTGTAGAAACAGAAGCAAATACCACCAGGCAATCATCATTATCCAGGCGGGAAGGCAGCAAGAACGAACACAATGCGGCAGGATTTATTAGCAAATAACCAGGGAACAATGGGGAAGTGGGGCACGTAGGCAAATTATCACCTCAGTTTAGGGTTACTGCTCTGTTCAGTGAACAACCTCATCCTAAACTGAACAGGGTTCAGTGAGAATATATTAACACGCCTGGCCATTCACTGATACTAACTTTACGGAAAAAGCACCGGTGCTTCTGAAATAGGTTTAAGGAGAAATTCTAGAATCTAAAGGGCTCTCCCCAGAGATGGAAACAGCAACAAGCTGATGTTCGGCAGGCCCTGTTCAACGGGTCCATGGGACAGCTAAGTTTGTATGCTGCATCACCTCTGAACTGTCCATTAGAGGTTTGAGACTGATGACAGTACAGAGGCCCACATAAAGAGACATGACTAAAGTGTGACCATGCTACCCCCAAAGGGTCTGCCTGCTCCAGTCACAAGTTCACTGATTTTTTTTTAATTTTATTTATTTCTTTGAGAGAGAGAAAGCGAGAGAGATCAGAGGGAGAGGGAGAAGCAGACTTGCCGCTGACTGAGAGGTGAGCCCGATGCGGGGCTCCATCCCAGGACCCCGGGATCATGACCTAAGCCGAAGGCAGACGCTTAACTGACTGAGCCACCCAGGTGCCCCTGAGTTCACAGATTTAAGCACCAAAAGATCTAATGGCTCATCCTGCCTCTCTCACTAAGTAGCTGGGTTGTGTTGGAATGGCTGCCCACCTTCCTGGGCTATGGTTTTAGCTATAAAATTAAGGTACTGCATTAAGAGATCGTGGATGCATAGATTACTTAGATCAGGGCTTGGCAAATGTTTTTCTGTCAAGAGTCAGATGGTAAACATTTAGGCATTCTGCAGGCAAAGAGGCAAGAATCAAAGATGTTATGTAGGTTCTTCTGGAGTAAGAGCAAAGCTACCACAAAATGTTACTGATGAAATTAAAAATGTACTGAGTACAATTTTTTTTAAGACAGCCTGTTAATGAGAAGAATGGAATTCTTTTGAGGCAGAATAACATTTTTGCTTAATTGGGATTCAAGGTTAGTGCTTCTTATCTCAAATCGACTGCAAATATTTCTCTCTCAAAATCACTCTGCGCTCACGGGCCATACGAAAATAGGCATCAGGCAAGATTTAGCCCACAAGCTGCAGTGTGCTGACCCCTAATTTAGATGCCTGTGAGTTCCCACCCTTTATGATGAAAACCAAGTTGTCTTAAGCTAAACTGTTTAAAATAAACTCGTATAAATCCCTTTTCGGAACAATCATTTTAGCAGTTTACACCTAATAGAAGAATTATGACAAGCTAATAATTTATGTCAGACTAATATGAAATTAGTAGGAAATCCAAGTGTTGACTGTAGTTGATCCGCACATACCTTCTCCCTATAAAGAAGTCTATGACTAGGTCATTCTGTTACTATCATTAGTAGTCGTAGTGGCAGCGAACATTCACTGAGCACTCATGATGCCCTAAGCACACCCTATTCCTCGGGTTTTCTTCCCCACAGCAACTATAGGAATTACTAGCCTATCTCATAGACAAGGACAGTGAGACTTAACAAGCATTATATACCTGCCCAAGGTCTGGTCTGACTTCAAACCAGTTCTCTTTTTTTTTTTTTTCCAGACCAGTTCTTTAAGCATTACATCATGCTGGAGACATTCCTAGAAATCAGGAAAACGAGTGCCTCTTCTAGTCAAAACTGAAACCTATACTCCTTTCCATAAAATGCGTATTCTTTTCCTTTGGATTTAGGAATAGTATTTCAGTAAGCCCTAATGTTTAGCAAACAAACCTGCTGACTGGTCTACTTTCTTGAGGAAACAAGTGGAAGCAAAAGCCCCTTTATCATCATAATGTCACTCCCTGTAGTAGGTAGAATTAGGGTGCCCCAAAAGATGTTCATGTCCTAATCCCTGGATCCCGTGAATAGGTTACATTACATCCCCAAGAGGACTCTGCAAATGAAATTAAGGTTAAAGCTTAAAACAAGGAGATTATCCTGGATATCCAGGTGGGCCCAATCTCATCACTAGTCCTTAAAAGCAGAGACCCTTCTGTGGCTGGAACCCCAGAGATGCAATGGAGGAAATCAGATTCCAAGAGTCAAAAGGATCTGACATGCTGTTGCTGGCTGAGATGTAGGGACCATGGTGCAAGGACCAGAAAGAAGCCTCGAGAAGGGAATGGTGGCTCCCAACTGATAGCCAGCAAGGAAGTAGGGATGGCAGTTCCAAAACTACCAGGTAGTGGAGCTGCCAACACCTCAATGAGCCTGGAACAGGATTCTTCCCAGAGCCTCCAGCTATGAGCCCAGCCAGCTGACACCTTGACTCCAGCCTTATGAAACCTGGATCTGAAGAACCAGCCAAGCCATCCTGTACTTCTGACCTCCAGAACTGTGAGATAATACGTTTGTGTTTTGAGTTGCTAACACTGGGGTAATTTGTTACAGCAGCAACAGAAAATTAACACATTACCCAAAGAACCCAGCATTTCTATGCTTGAAGTTTGAGTCAAGAGGGGAGAATCCAGGTGCCTCTCAGCTTGGCTTCTAAATGATATTGGGCTGAAGCATACTATGTACAAAAGATGATGTGTATTCCTAGAGCTCATCCCTTCTCTTCCCCTCCCTCCCAACTCCCCCCTCCCTTTAGCAAAGAATGAACTTGCAAAACATGAGGATAAGGGTCCCTGCAGGAAAAATGTTTCTAACTCCTGATGGACAAAGGTGGACAAAACAAAGAAATCAAACAATCGGATGGGGCCCGATTAGGCCTCTGAAGCTTCAGCAAGAGTACCTAAAACATCTTATTCAAACACATGATCTCACCTTTCCTGACTTCCCAGAGCTCTTGCTGTCTCTAAGGTATGTTTGGAGGCTTGATTATACCCAGAACTGATATTAAGTTGCTGCACCAGTAGATCCTACCACCTGTGGGTGCTATTATTTCTTCTTATTGGTCAGTGCCCATGCCACACCAGCCATTAAATATTTTGTCTATCTCCCTCATTATATCCAAGTTTATTATATATTTAGTTTTACTATTCTCTAACATAAGGCTACTTACCCTGGTTTTAATACATGTTTGCAATTTTTTTCACACTCCTCCCATTTAGAAGTGGAGTCTAAATTCCTCTTCTCTGGATTATAGGCTAGCCTTGGTGACTTGGTTCTACAACATAAAATGCAATGGAAATGACACCACGGGCCTTCCCAAGCTAGGCAATTAAAGGCAGTACAACCTCCCCCTGGTGTACAAACATGCTCCCTTCCGCCTCTCTTTCTCAGGAACTTGCTCTTTGACGCTTCTTGCTCAATCAGCATGCTGTAAAGAAGCCCAGTACACAAAGCCATAGGAGACATTCCAGCCAACAGCCATCATCAGCCACTGGACATGAGAGAAGAAGCCTCCCCCACGACTCCAGCCCCAGCCACACTCTAACTACAATTACATGAAAGACCGGAAGCAACAGCCACCCAGCTCAGCCCAGTGATTGCCAGAGCTGAGAGAGAGAGAGAGAGAGAGAGAGAGAGAGAGAGAAATGAGTAATTCTTGCTGTTTTAAGCCTCTAAAAAATCTTAGAGTGGTTTGTTACACAGCAGTAGATAAATGAAACACTGAAAAGTTGGTTGTCCATAGATTAAGTTGTAACCACTGGGTTGAATTTTCCCATCAAAATGTTTCATTTGCCCAACATGATGGCTTTTAAAAGGACTGAATTGGAATTCCTTTAAATGAGGTGTACAATGACTAGTTTTCCACAGTCCCCACCACCCCCTAGCATTTATACTTGTCTAGGTCACCATTTGTTAACTGATTGAGCCCTGAAAGCATATGAGTTCACACAACTTATCTCCCAACAAGATTTTAAGCTCCTTATGGGCTAAGACTATTGTCCAAGTGGCATGCGCTGAGCAGATCATTACATCTATGTAAATGACTGTACTGCTATATATACATCTACTTGAATAAACAAAGAGTGTCATTCAAGTGCTTTAACTTCTTCTTACCATGACCTTAGGGTGTTCCTGTGGTCTGTGTTTGGGGAAGGATTTAGTGGACAAGGTATGAAGAGGTCTTATATAAATTTCAGAAGAAAAATATATGGGGATGAAATTATACTGGACAATGGAATACACAAAAGGAGTGTAATAGTAATAATGAAATACAATTGTCTAAAGACAAAGACACTGGTACCCCAATTTCTATGGACCATATAAAAGAGATATACATCACGCTAAGGTTTTACATTTTACCTATCAACTCTTAAAGATAGTTGCAGGAATATGGAATGACAAAACCATAGAATATTTATTGCTTTATTTCTAATATCCTATAGATTATACCCTTCCCATTCCATGCTATAGATAATGCTTTTGCAAACAAAAATTATGGGCAAAACCATAATTTGTGTAGACATCTGATGTATTTTTACATATTTTTTTAAGATTTATTTATTTTTATTTATTTTAGAGAAAGAGAGAGAGAGAGCAGGGGGAAGGGGCAGAGGGAGAGAGAACCCTGAAGCAGACTCCGGGCTGAGCATGGAGTCCAATGCAGGGCTCCATCCCAGGATCCTGAGATCATGACCTGAGCCAAAATCAAGAGGCAGCCACTTAACCAACTGAGCCACCCAAGCGCCCCGTGTTTTTTACATATTTTTGAAAAGATAGAAAAAGAAGATCCAGGGGCGCCTGGGTGGCTCAGACGTTAGGCATCTGCCTTCGGCTCAGGTCATAATCCCAGGGTCCTGGGATCAAGCCCTGCATCAGGCTCCTTGCTCCACGGGGAGCCTGCTTCTCCCTCTCCCACTCCCCTTGCTTGTGTTCCCTCTCTCACTGTGTCTCTCTCTGTCAAAAAATAGGTAAAAAATCTTTAAAAAAAAAAAAAAAAGATCCAGACATGTTTGGTCACAGACG